CTCTCTCTCTCTCTCTCTCTCTCTCTCTCTCTCTCTCTCTCTCTCTCTCTCTCTCTCTCTCTCTCTCTCTCTCTCTCCGGGCTTGACTCTCTCCTTCTCTGCCTCCTCCTCTTTGTCGGCAGAATACAGGCTCTCTCTCTCTTCGTCTCTCCCTCACCAGGGTTTGTCTTTGTGTGTGTGTGTGTGTGTGTGTGTGTGTGTGTGTGTGTGTGTGTGTGTCCGCAGTGATGCCCTCCGGAGCTGTTTGTGTGTGCACACAGTTGCTGGTGATGAAATTGGTAGAACGATTCACAATGGGTGATGAATGACCGCAAACAGAAATTTCCGTGAAGGAAAATGGCGGAAGCGAAAACACTACGTAGTGTCGCAAAGCTGGAATTAACGCGCTGTGGTAATAAAACGAGCTGAGTTTCTTGCACAAAAAAGACAAAAAAACTATTACCGCGGTGAGTGGTGCAGCGAGGCGAATTGTGAAAGGCCATCCTGGAGCAAGATTTGACTGGCAATTCAATTCACAGGCGATTGAATTGGTTGGAAGTGGTATTGAAAAAAAAAAAAAAACACTGAAATTACCCCCGCGAAGTTCATGCCAACCAAGGCAACCACCATCAGTAGAAACTGTCGTCTTGCCCCGAGCACGACGAACCCTCATTTTCACTGCATGCAACCGGAACCACACCTTGTATACATTAGGAACCAGGGTGCTCTGTGTTGGGGGGATCACGGGTAGCTGTAACCCGAGGAACCGCTGGACCCGGGCGGGCAGAACTGAAAAACGGGTGGTAGTTGACTTGGCTCGACTACTACCAACGGGCCTAACTCAGTTGGTACACCCATGAACTGTTGAAATAGAGACCCAAGTTAGGATCCAGAGTGCAGGAGGTCGTGGGCATTGGAACTGTAACAGCAGTGTATATGGCTAGTTGCGTTTGTATGGGAGAGTGCTCAATGATGATACCTCAAGCCCGTTGCCCAAAAATAAAATAAAAGTATAAACCGAGAATAAATCCTTCGCTATCAGATTGGGAGGTGCCGGTGGGTTTTGCGGGGCCATTTTGCGGGGCCTTCAGCCCCGCCGGGTGGGAGGTAGGGTAAGTTTACCGGCTTGCAAAAAACAGCATCGTAGTGGGAGTTGCTGTTTTTGGTAATGGGGAGTAGGAGGGGGAGGTGCTATCCACTCTGAATCACGAGGTGGGTGGGATCTGCGGGGTGTGTCAGCAGTTGGGGGCCTGTGTGCATGGACCATCATGCAAAAGACACCAAACACATCTATGCACTCTGAATCGAGAGGAGGTGGGTGGAATGTGCGGGGTCTGTGTCAGCAGTTGGGGGCCTGTGTGCACAGACGTTCACGCAGAAAGACGTCAAATAGATCTCCCGCACCAACAAGCCTCCCCCAGTTGTTACACCCACGCAATGTTGGAATATAGACCAATTTATTTATTTATTTTCATTTTTGGGTACTTTTTTGTATATATCTTTTAGAGGTATACCCCCAAAAGATGTGGGTAGAGGGGCATACCTTCCTGACAATTAAAAATCTCTGTGAAATGCCCTTCGTGTCGGTTGGGCCGATGATCTTTGCAATAGACCCCTACTGGATACAGCTCCAACTTCCCAAAATACCCCTGTACATGTGAACTTCCAAAGGGCCCAACTAATCCTAGCAGGGGTCTATTGCAAAACTGCATCTGAAGCTTGTTGGTAGAGTGGATTGCTCTTTGAGCCGAAATCTTTGTGTTATGCACCTGTCAGGCCAGTGCACAAATTTGCAATCTTGACCTTGCCCTCTGGGACTGTGCACTCTCCAGTTGGACTTTGTAACACTTTGCAAGGACGGGGGCATTTTGCAAAGTTGGATGGTACCCGGCATAAGTATATTACAAAGATGGGGGGCCCAACAAATGTCACCGGTATTTCAGAAAGTTTTTGTTTTTGTTTTTGTTTTTAAGAAAAAAAAAGCTATATTCTTCTCTCAATTTCACCTCACACTACCTACCTACCACTACTCCTAATTGTAGGCATACGGGGAACCCCGTAGCAGCCAGAACCGTGTTCACGAGAGAACATGCGGGGGCTGCTCCCGACCTGCAGGTGGGCGATACCGGCTAGGCCATGCCAACAGGACCAATCCCTGTGCCTCCCCTCAGGTCCCCTCCCCTATGAACATCAGCAGACTCTGCTAAATGCCAATCGGGGGATCCAGTGGTCTATCTCAAGGTGGCGGGCGCCAAGCATGCCCAGGAAGGTACAAGAGGCCAATGGGGATTGAACCCACGACCTCCTGAATGCCACTTGCGAGCCTTACCAACTGAGTTAGGCCACTGGATTTTTTTTTTTCCCCCTTTCTACAGTAGGCGCGCACAGAGAGACAGAACATTCACAACGTGTAAATTAATTAACATAAAGTTTCTGGCTCACCAACTGGCCTATCTCAGTTGGTACCAAAAAATTGGACCATTTCTCGATTTTTTTTTGGGTTTCAGTGGGTCCTCCCTTTTTTTTTTTTTGAAAACTACGGCGAAGCCAAAGTTTGAGTTTGAAAATGCACGGTAATGGTGAATGTTTACAACCTAGGTTTCGGGTGTCGTGGGGTCTTTCGCGGGATTGCCTGAAGTGCATTTTCAAACTGTTTTTGTGACTGCACCAAAGTTACCCTTTTTTTTTAAAAAAGGAGATGAGCTCTTATCAGGGCCCAGTGCCCAAGGCAATACACACAACATGAAAAGAGTTCCAGATGCACACACAACTGAGGTAGATCAGTTCAATGATGATGTCTGAAAAAAGAAAAAACGCAAGTGTGGCACTTTGAAATATAAGGGACGACCCAAGAGCCTAGCTCAGTGGGTACACCTATGAACTGCTGAAATACAGACCCGTGTTCAAATCCAGATGATGGAACTTGACGAGTAAAACTGAAATATTTCTGAATTGCCTGCGGCCGGTCAGCGCAATGATGATATCTCGAGATCGTCGCCATTTCAAAAATACAAGGGACGTAAAACAATAAAAAAAAGAAGAAGAAGAAAAAAATCTTGTTGATTCCTTCAAGTGGGACCTTTTTTTTTTTTTTTTTTTTTTTTCAAACAAAGCTCCATCTATTGGTGGGGAGCAACACCTGGTGGAAACAGGGTCCGGCGTCCCATAGATACAACCATATCCTCACAAATTGGCATAAACTGGGCCCAAGGGATTACACCAAAAGATGTGAGCGATGAAATGGTATTCACCAGTTAGCAGTAGCTGCTGCAGATCCCAGGGTTCGATCCCTAGACCCCAACCTTACCTGTGTACAGTGCCGGTGAAGTCCCGTAGAGTTGAACCCATGACCTGTGTATTTCTAACAGTCGATAGGTTGTCATAGACTCATAGGGTCCATAGGTAGCGTGGGTTCGAGCTGTAGACCTGTCGGATAGGAGTCATAGTCAGGTCTAGTGGTCGTAACTTGTAGTATTCTCGAAAGGTCAAGGTCGTAGCTGCTACAGTCCAGAAGGGTCAGAGTAGTAGCTGTTACAGTCACGAAAGGCCAAGCTTACGGCCTTCCGGAAGGTCCTAGTAGTGGCCTTTCGTAGTTGCCCATGTTTAGGCAGAGGCAGGTGGTCAAGTGGTGAGGCAAGTGGGCAAGTGGTGGAAGTCTACCGTGCTGAGTCAACAGTCCCAGTCTCCAGTCAGTGAAGCAAGTACCGCATGGGACTGTGTGCACCTCGGGCAAGGGAAATGGGCCAGACCAACGAGCTGCAGAAGTGTAAATCAAGAGGCAGCGCCCAACCATTCATTCATTCCTGCGGAAGCCATGCAGAAGCGCTGCCACAGTGACTTGTGCGAGGTGGTCTGCAGAGGAGCCTGAAGTCGAAGTGGGCTGGAGGAGTTAGCGCAGCCATAGCTGCTGGTAGGGTAGTGTTAGTGGCGGCCATAGCTGCCATAGCTGTTAGTGTAGTGTGTGTACAGTGTGTGCGCGTGGGGTATCCAGGGTGATCCGGAGTTGAAGAGTGAAGCAAACAGTGGTGTTGGACACAGAGACAAGAGTTGCGATGTGTGGGTGCTGATGCACCATAGCCTGTTTGAAGTGAGCTTGCATCTGAACTGTGTCTTGGTTCCATATCTTCGAGCTTTGAGTTGGGCGCCACGCGCCAGTGTGATTCACCATCTGTTTGTATGCATGTGAAGTGACGAAGTATGCGAGTCTGATTGCAGCGACATTCGGGCCCAGTCCCAATGGTCAGGGGCTGCGCCCAAGTCCATTTGTGAGCAATGCACTGGCATAGTACAAACTTTCCTTTTTTTTTTTTTTTTTTTTTTTTTTTTTTTTTTAATGAAGGCATTGGTTTGCTAAATCAACATACAACAAGATTGTATCATGGGTTCAAATCCCATTTCCTCCGTTCCGGGCCCAGTCCCAATGGTCAGGGGCTGCGCCCAAGTCCATTTGTGAGCAATGCACGGGCATAATACAAACTTTCCTTTTTTTTTTTTTTTGAGAAAACTTTGTGGCCAGGGGGACCTGCTTAGCGAGTTGGTAAGAGCACCCTCGCTAAGCAGGGCCCTGTGCTCTTTTCGGCAGCGAGGGAATTGTGCTAGAGTGGCGGCCCTGCTGGATATCGAAGCCGGAAGCCATGGTTAAATACGCAAGAGAGCCGGATAATCCCACGAAGGCATGCAAGGCCAGGGGCTCCGATCTCCGGGTGCATTCCAAGAACACCCGTGAGACAGCGCAGGCGATCAAAATGATAAAGTTGAACAAGGCGAAGAGATATCTTGAGGATGTCATTGCCCACAAGCAAGCCGTTCCATTCCGGCGGTTTTGCGGTGGTGTTGGCCGTACCGCTCAGGCGAAGTGGACTCCCACACACCACACACGACCCACTCACGCTCACACTCACACCTGTGTTGGTCATAGACCCTACTAATTCGAATCAGGGGTCTGAAGTGGACTATCACAGCTGGTTGGCACTAAGTGCACCGGAGGCGGTCATGGGGCTCGAGCCCACGACCTCCTTCGCTGTTTTCCGAATTGTAAAGTTTTTTTTTTTTCTTAATAAATATGTTGGTTAGTTTTCCAAAAGCTGGGGACAAGTTCCACTTTCCGAGATCCCTCATTTTTTTCTTATTTCCCCCCCCCTCCTCATTTGTGGCCACGGCGGGAACTCTACAATTTGGGTGCACCAGCAGCTTTAGGGCCTGGCCACACCACTCTCGAAATGTGAAAAAGACAAAAATGTGCCGGGTGCATCTGTCCATGGTCTAGCGGGAAGTTCATTCTCATTTTTCACATTTCGAGAGTGGTGTGGCCATGCCCTTACTGCCCCATGTCGCGTCAGCTAGCGACAAACCATCGCTACCCACTCGTGATGCTGTAGGCATGGCGGGATGCATGTCAAGCAACCTCTGACTCATGGCGCGTGAACATCTGTTCAAAATATATATACATACATATCTCTGTTTGACGATATATATAAACAATTAATTTATTGAAAAAGCCACCTCGGCATCTACCCCACACGTCAGCAACAGGAAATCCCCATCGCCATGTTTCATGGTGTAACAGTTGCACTGCGGAAAATGGAACACATACCTAACGCAGAAAAACTACCCGGTCATGCTGACCGTGTTGGTAAAAGATGTAGCATGGTGGTTTTTTTTTTTTTTTTCGGTCGAAAAGAAAAACGAAGAAAACGAATCTCGTCTCTACTAGCCCGCCACTGTGTTGGAAAAAAATGTACTATGGCGGGCTGCTGTTTCCCGAAGGTAAATCAAAAGGAATACAAATGAATCTTCTCCGTATCCGTCAGCTCGCCACTGCGTTGGCGAAGGATGCACTATAGTGGCTTTTTTTTTTTTTTTTAATCATAAAAAAGCAAAAGGAAGGAAAAAGAATCAAAAAGGAAGGAAAAAGAATCTCCTCCCGTATCCACGACGGATATAGGAGGAGATTCTTTGCCTGTTCTTTGTTTTCGATGAAAAACCAGTGCCAGATGGTGCGCCGTTTGCCAACATCGTTCGGCATGGCGAGCTGCGAATTAGTAAGCATGCTGAGAAGATGATGTGTCGGGAAGAGTTGGGCGGGCTGCAAATTCGTAAGCATGCTCATGGAGGGAGGATTTTTTCCGTATTTTTCACCGAAAAGCAGCCCCTCACACTGCAGTGTTTGGAAAACGCTTTGCTAAACTGACGCGCCATCGCAGGGTCTGGGATTTTGCATTCACAATTCGGGAAAAGAAGCCCGCCAAAGCGCTGGGGCATGCTGGGGTGCATGTTGGCAAACGGCGCACCATCTCGCACTGCTTTTTTTTTCATGGAAAAGAAGCCCGCCAAAATGCAACTTTGTCAAGCCCATGCTCCATGGTGGGCTCCGATCTCACTGCCGTAGACAGAAATTTTTGTGGCGCCATTTTGTGAAGATAGTGACACTCCTCCACTGCCTAGTGCTCCGTGTGCTCCAGGTAAAGTCTCTCTCTCTCTCTCTCTCTCTCTCTCTCTCTCTCTCCCGCGGCCTTATTTTCATCACCTAATATATAATCACCTAAAGACCGTCGTTGTCATTCAAGCAGTTTCCTTGACAACTTTCGTCACAGACAGTGTAATCCCTGTCCGCTACACGACTTCTTTCTATCAATCTCCCATCAAGACAGTATGAGGATGGCGTCCAACAAACGGGGTTACAGTAAAGAGGATGACAATGCCGTGGAGATGGCAAAAGTCGTCACTCGTGCCTTAGGTGCACTTCAACCAATCGATGTTGTTCTGCCGTTCAGGTTTGCCCAGTTGGTGAAGAACATCGCTGCAGAAGCTGGCTGTTGCCCATGGATGGTTGTTGGGCCGATCCTCTCCATTGGTGGTCTGATGATGGGATGTAGAAGCTACACGATTCTTTCTGGGAACACATGGTTCGAGAAACCTATCTTTTGGTCTGTGGTTCTAGCATTCAGCGGAATGAGCAAGTCGCCAGCCCACCAAAGGATTGTGGCCGCATTGAACAGAGCGGAATCCGAGATTCAAAAGGTGGTTTCTGCAGAAACAACCGCGGACAATGGAGCGCAAATTCAGAGTGATCCAAACGACATCCCACTTGATCAGAAGAAACTGGACTTCCATTTAACAGGGGTGAGTGCATTTTCAAAACCCATGTTCTTCTCCATCCGCTTCTTCTCCTCCCACTTCTAATCTTCCTCTTTTTGCCCTTCTCTTCGTTTTCCATTCCTACTCGTCTTTGTCCCATTCCCTTCTCCCCCTCCTCCTCCTTTTTCTCCTACTAATCTTCCTCCTCTTCCGGCCTCTCCCTTTTCAATCCCTTCTCCTCCTCCTCCTCGGCATTCTCCTGCTCCTCGTAGTATTCTTTGTCCTCTTCCTCCCTCTGCGTTTTCTGTCCGTTTCTATCTTTCTCCCTGCCCTCCTTGTCCTAATCTTCATCCTCTCTCCATTTCTACTATAGGAGGTGATGTTCTCTTGGTCACATCCGTTTGTCTGATTGTTGTTAATCCTCCATCGCGTCCTCCTTTGCTGCTCTGATACCCCTGCTTGAATAGAATCAGGATGGCTTTGAGGGGAGGAGGAGGGATGTGGCGCGAATATGGTGGGGATATGGAGGAGGCATGGCGGGGATGTGGMTGAGGCATGGAGAAGAGACGGAGGGGATATGCCGGGGATATGGTTGCGATATGGAGGGAGGGAGRAGGAGGGGTGATAAGTAGAGGATGTAGTGGGAATATGGTGGGGATGGAGACATGGCGGGATTTGCAGATCTTCTCGCTGAACATGCTTGGGAAGAAGCACGTATCTGTCCAATAGTATACTATCAGGGGAAAGTAGTCAGGATGACAAGCCACTTACCCACTGATGATGACGGGCAGGATGATCCAAAACCCATGTTCTTCTCCATCCGCTTCTTCTCCTCCCACTTCTAATCTTCCTCTTTTGCCCTTCTCTCCGTTTTCCATTCCTTCTCCTCTTTGTCCCACTCCCTTTTCCCCCTCCTCCTCCTTTTTCTCCTACTAATCTTCCTCCTCTTCCGGCCTCTCCCTTTTCAATCCCTTCTCCTCCTTCTCCCCGGCATTCTCCTGCTCCTTCTCGTAGTATTCTTCGTCCTCTTCCTCCCTCTGCGTTTTCTGTCCGTTCCTATCTTTCTCCCTACCCTCCTCGTCCTAATCTTCATCCTCTGTCCATTTCTACTATAGGAGGCGACGTTCTCTTGGTCACATCCATTTGTCCGATTGTTGTTAATCCTCCATCGTGTCCTCCTTTGCTGCTCTGATACCCCTGCTTGAAAAGAATCAGGATGGCTTTGAGGGGAGGAGGAGGGATGTGGCGCGAATATGGTGGGGATATGGAGGAGGCATGGCAGGATGTGGCTGAGGCATGGAGAAGAGACGGAGGGGATATGTCGGGGATATGGTTGCGATATGGAGGGAAGGARGAGGAGGGGTGATAAGGAGAGGATGTAGTGGGAATATGGTGGGGATGGAGACATGGCGAGATTTGCAGATCTTCTCGCTGAACATGCTTGGGAAGAAGCACGTATCTGTCCAACAGTATACTATCGGGGGAAAGTAGTCAGGATGACAAGCCACTTACCCACKGATGATGAAGGGCGGGATGATTCAAGCCGAATCCTCGACTGACTGTGAGTAAGTTGAGCTCGTATCCTGTATTTTTTGGCAGTAGTAGCCCGTTCGACCGATGTCTAGTCCCCGTGAGTTGAAGCAACACAGTTCACTGTCGAGCACGTTCGTTGTGATTATTTTGTTATGAGTGCTGGTATCTGGCCTAGATTGCCCCCAGATACAATGTAGAGGTGGAAAAGGAAACGGGGTGCAGGGGATAGAAGTGAGCGCGCAAAGAGGAGCGTGATGGGAACGAGCGAGCGAAGAGTAGGGAGGAATGCTCACACTGGAGAAAGGAGGCGGGGAGGTAGAAGGAAGAGAGAAGAGAAGAAGATGGTCGGGAGAAAGAGACAGAGATTGATGCATGGTGGATGTGAGATGAACACACGGGATGAAACAAGCAATCACGCGAGCAAAGGAAGTCATCACGAGGAAGAAAATGATGAATGATGAAAAGAGATAAGTACGATGGAGGAAGGAAGAAAATTAATGAAAGAAAATTATTAATAATGAAAAGAGGTAAGTGGGTCTAAGAATCGGGTAACCGTAGTGTGATGCTCGTCACGAAACTTGTAGTTATCTTGCATGGATTTTGCGCAGAAAAGAGATACTCACGTGGCTGATCTGTGTGCAATTTCCACCTTGTATTCTTGATTCCGCAATCTAGCGCTACGTTTTTATTTATTTTTTTTATTTTTTTTGGGACATGTTCCAGTCTATTAGTGGGGAGCGGCACGTGCTGGGAACCGGGCCCAGCATCAGTGGCCTGCGCGGCCGCCGGGTTGGGCAATTTGCTAGAGGTTATTGCTTTTCTTTCGCAAAAAAACATTAAAAAATCCATCAGTGATACACGTAAGTAACTGTTAGTAAAGAGGTTAACAAAAGGAGGTGGTCATGGTCTCGAATCCTCTGATGGAATCTGATGGACAAAATACAGCAATACTAGGTGTTATTTCAGAAAAAGTGCTGATAAAAAAAATCAAATTAAAAATAAAAAACCGAAGAAAAAAACAAAAAAAACAAAAAAAACAGATGATGCTGAGTCATCGTTCGCGGTTGGGTCACAGGAACGAAAGCTAGCCTCACCACGAAGTAGTACAACAAGGGGTTCTTTTTTTTTGCCTGGGCAAATAAGTGAAAAACCGGTGAATGTATTGTTCTGTTAAAACCTAGGCTACCAGCTGGGCCGCCTGGGTCACCTTGTTTTCGAGAGCAGCCCGGCCGTGCAAGAGCCAAGGCAGATCCCAGCAAAAAAGGAAAAAAAAAGCAATCGGAAAAATCCATTAAAAAACTATGTTATGCGGAAAACTAAACTGAACAACTTTTGCCTTAGGGTCATATCCGAATTATTTACCAATTTTAAAACAAAAAATAAAATTAAAAAAAATATTTTTAAATTTTATTTTTTTAGTTTTTTTTGGCCCGGTTAGGCAAGTGGTCGCGGGCCACCCCGGTAGCCTAGGTTAAAACTGGAAAAATACATTTCTCACATTTCTCACATTTGGCGCGCAGTGGAAGGAGGTCCTCCACCTCTCATTGTCCGCCTTTCTCTCTATTGACAAAGACAAACATTCTTCTTGGGTGGAAGGAGGTCCTCCACCTTTTAGTCGACGTATTTGACAACCTTATTAAATTTCATTTAACGTCTGTTTAATCCTTTTCTAAATATTTTCGGAAAAGAAGAAACAGCTCTTTTTGTCCTACCACTTTTTGTTTAATTATTAATACGACTATTTCTCGTATTATTTCTTTTGCTTCCTTGTTCATACAGAAACTCTCGAACTTTTCTTTCCCATTCTTTTTTTTTTGTCTCATTCAAGTAACTGCATACAACTATACCGATTTTCTCCTTTCTTTTTGCTATCCATTTATTAATTAACATTATTTATTGGTTTTTATTACCTGTTTCGCTTGCGATTGGCTAATTAGGAGCAGACCGCCTCTTCCTCCTCCGACTTTTTGTAAATTGCCATCTAGTAAAAAAACCCTCCGTACTCAACGTGTCACCTTGTCCGCCATTGCAAGCCGCCATATCCACGTGTCATCTTGTCCGCCATAGCCAGGCGCAAAGTACAAGTCTGAATGCACACATCAATCTCGTGCAAGGATGCGAAGAACATCGCAACTGGGATATCGCGCTTGATTCTGGATCCTGATCAGACGGCCTCGACAGTCACCGCCACCCCTCCGGCCGGCTAATCAAGAAAGAGGTTAAATTATTGATGAAATGAATGAATCAGACCAAACAGGGAGGGAAGGGGGGAAGGAAGGAAGGAGAGAAGGAAGGAGAGGAGGAAGGAGAGGAGAGAGGGAGGGCGGGAAGGAGAGGAGGCAAGGAGGGAGGGAGCGAGGGAGGGGGAAAGAAAACGCCGCAATCGCAGTGATCAGTGGATCCTTAGTCGTTGATTGGTGGATCTTTAGTGTCCGAATGTGTCGCACAGCTGTGAAACTTCTAGAGTAGTGTCTGAATTTGTCGCACAGCTTTGAAAATTATCAGTGTCTGTCCAAATCTGTCGCACGATGATGAATTTTTTATTTTATTTTTTTCTCGAATTTGGTTGAGAATTTCGCCAAGACCTTCAGRCAAAAGTTGTTTTGCATTGGAATTTTGCACAACATTTTTTTTTTCGATTCTTTTTTTTTTTTAATACAAAAAACAGGTCCTTATGGCCCTGGCTCCATTTCCATTCTAGGGAGCATCAGTCCGGTTCCTATTCCACCGACAAGTAAGAATAAAATATTACATCATGGAACACATAATAAAATATTACATCATGGAACACATTCACGCTTTCTTCCGTCTGGCGGAAGGAACCCTGATCAGCATTGATTACTCCACCATCCTAGAGGATTGACTGTCAGCTTGCCTTACTTTCACCTCTCCTCTCAGGTCCACTGCATGAACCTGCCAGATAAATGATAAAGAGCCAGAAAGGTAAAAAAAGCTATAGAAGAAGCAACCTCGGAATTTGCTCTTCAAGAATACGTGGCCTGCGTAGGATCTTGTCCATCTGCTGGCTGGGATCTCTGTCTTTTCCACCCTGCTTCTGAGTTGTGCCAGTCTTTCCATCGTATGTGACAGTTAATTATCTCTGCTACTTTGCCCCCTGCGAGCCACAGCTCAGTAAATTTTGCCTTGATCCTCCTCTGTTGCTCTTCGTCTTCTGGCATGGAGTGTCTCGTCTTATGGCGGATACAGTGAAAATGAGGGTGCTTTSTGTTTGGGGGAAGACGGTAGCAGGGCCTTGCTCTCTGAGACACAGAGCAGATTCCCGGAAAGCTAATTTGATTAGCAGGGCCCGAAATAATATTAAAAAAAAAAAAAAGCATCAGAGATCTAGGACAAACTCATCAGTGCTGGTGGCGATTACCCCCTTTTGAGACCGAATAGATTATTGTTCTCCAGTGCAAATTCGGAGATGAAGAGTACACGGCCGGAATCACACACAAATCAGTCACTTAAAAAAAAAAAAAAATGCTATTTCACGAGTAGTGTCTGAATTTATTGCCTGAAGGTCTTGGCAAAATTCTCAACCAAATGCTATTTCACTGTTCACTCATTCAAATTCCGGGTACAAGAGAACACAGACTGAGTCTGAAACTGTTCCAGTTAAAGTCTGAGCATGTGGACTTASGCTGGGAATTTTCCGCGTGAAGCCTCACAATKCACACTTAGTCTGCGTYTATTCCGTGTAAACTCTGCTGGGAAAAGACCCACCTAATCCTGCTCAAGTAGTCTAATCTCGCTTAGTGGGCGCCCTCTTCTAAAGTAGCCAGTGCCTGCATTTCCTGCACCCTGCAACCAGAACCCTCAACCAAGCTATAGAATATATCTATACGATCTAAGTATAGTATTAGAATCTATCTACAGAATCTAGTGTACGAGCTCTAGAGAGTTTAGTGTCCTGTCTTTATGGAATCTCAGTATAGAATCTAGTACGGAATCTAGTATAGAATCTAGTATACATATAGATCATTGATGTATTACAGGAGCAAGCAATTATGCAGCTAAGCAGCCTGATTGTGTGTGGTCAACAATTATCAAGTGACTGAGTCTCTGTGAGACGATAGCCAGTTAGACCACCACCAGCATTGAGGCTAATTTCCCAAACCTGTTGTGTGCCCAACCAGGACTTGCCGAACCGTTGGCAGGTCGGTGCTGTACTGAGGAGCAGGTTTTCTGTGGGCCAGCAATGCCCGTAGCTAGTGCATTTATTACTGAACTCTAAACCGCCCTGGGATGTGTCAGAAGAGCGGTGGTTTGAGCGAATAATTAACTTCACCACTACCTGCGGGGATGRGCTCCCACGCTGACTCTATCGAGCTCTGGTACATAACCTGCTTCTAGTAGTCCRCGATGGAAAAATTCCGGCCTTTCGTGATCTGCCAAGCCAAGCCAAGCCAAGCCGAACAAGCTTTGGTACTATACCAGTTGCTGGCAAGCCACCAGGAGGAAATCTGGGTTTCTTACTATAGTCACTACTTTAGGAAAAAGGAGGTCTTCCCTGCTTGCAGTGTGTTAAATTTGAACTTTAAACTYGCAGCTCAGTTGTCTAGTAGATCCCCCACTTCTTCTAGCACTACAATCGGGTTCGGTTTGAAAGAACATCTTTGTCTTTTCTTATTTCTATGTTTTTCGACTAACAATTTTGTTGTTCGTACTGTGTTTTTTATCTTTTTTATTTTTTCAATTTCGTTTTTTTTTTTTTTTTTTTCCAGAAAACGTTTGAAAGGATGTTTGAAGCACTTCAGGAGAATGTAAACCCTGAACTCATTGCATTGGAGGACGAACTTGCAACCATTTTTGGGAAAATGGATCTTTGTCACAAGCAAACACAAGGTGGAGTAGGACTCGACAGATCCAGTATGCTGAGTCTTAAACAAGGAGGCAGATGGGAGATGCGAACAGTTAACAGTCCGCATCGACATCTTTCTCGTACACATGTTATCTTCAGCGGGTATATACAGCCAGAGAGGCTCCAGATGCTTTATGTGAGCAATGCTGATGGGTTAATGAATCGTTTTCACATTTTCATTCCCGAAATTTTTTTGGAAAGCTATGCCCCACCTCAAAATGGTCCAAAACGGYCACGACATATCAGGAAATCAGGTCAACAGGATGCGATGCTTGATGACCTAGATGAATATTTATCTGTGCCAAGTGAGTCAACAATCCAACTCGCAGAGGTATGTTACTCTCATGTCCATCTCAATCTTGTTTATATGTCTACAAATGTTGTTGGTTAATTTTTATGTTTTTATTAAAAAAAATTCATAAAATCAGAACCTTTGGGTTTTAGTTGTTGCCATTACGGGGAGTGACAGTCCGGTCGCTATTCCCAAGGTAAGTCATTTAAACAGTACACATAACACTCTACCCACACTCCTCCCTATTACAGCTAGGAGACCTGAGTGAATGACATTGATTACTCCATAAGGAAGGATGTACCATCCCTCACCGCTGCCCAATTGGTGATAGTTTGTCTATGTTACCATGAGCCCTAAACGCTAACTACCAGCTTTACTAGGAACGAGATATCACACTCGTACCTCTTTTTTTGTGAACTCTATTTTATTTATTTATAAATAAGGAAATGTCAACCCAGAATGCAGAAGTACTCATTTTTCCCATCCTCTTTTTTATATAGATATTACTAGATCTGCCAGAGTCACTGCCTACTGCCCTCCTAACTTGAACCCTAAACCCTATGGATCGTCCAGCTTTGGTTTCTCCCCATGTTTTGACCTGGTCATCCTGAGTCCAAAGCTTATAGGAAACGTTCAACCCACTCAAGATGACATCACTGGCTTCATGCCTGTATGTGGGTCAACCTCTGCCGAGAATGGATGATATCTTTCCACTCGTGGAATCAGTCGCTCCGCCCAGTCTCTCTTTCACAGGTCAGGGGTACAGAGGCAGAACCCTTAGGTTGTCTCCCAGAGACAACACACAGGTTTAATTTTTCAATATCGCCAGTCAGAGATCAGACACCAGGAGACTGAATGTAGTCTCATACCAAAAGTCTGATGTCTGTCAATAGTATGTCTAATAATTCTTAGCCAGGTACTTGAGCTGCCATTCAAATTGCCTCTTATGAGTCCGAGCTTGCAGAATCTTGGTCTAGACGAGCCTTTTTTTTTATTTACCTGGGCTAACGAGGTCTGAATCAATTGCCTTTAAGTATGTCTGAGTTTGTTGTGCCTACGCTCAGGAAGATTGCGCTTACACTCACTGAGTCACATAATCCTCGAGCCTACAATGACCGAGCCTGACGAAACCTGAACTTCAGAATGCTTGAATTCAGATGGACTGAGTTTTAAATTTCAGGATCGGGAAGAATCAACTCTGTATGCTTGAGCCTTGAGTTTAAATGGACTATGTGCAACATCAGGATCTGGAAGAGTTAACTCCATACTGTCAAAGTTTGAGTCTAGACTCGATGCTTATCATTCTAGTAAATTATGACACTGCAATTTATGGATTGTACATTCGTTCGCCCCTACCTGACTCATTGAGTAGAGGTGTGACCGAGCACCGTCCACCTGTCTGCTGTGCAGGGATCACAATCAGACCTCTCTCACCGGTTTGCTGTGCAGGGCTCCAGTCGAGGCACCACCCACTTTATGGTTATGTGCGGACTTGAGAGTTCCCTCGCAGTTTCTGTCTTGAGGGGTAAAGGTAGGGCCTTCTCAGAATGTGGGAGACACGTTTCCAATACTCCAAACTTTGAGGYTGAATAAGACTCTGTGCCCGGACCCTTGGTTCAGCTCTGGCCTGAACCGGTGGCTGAACACTAATCCAAACCCAACCTTTGACTTGATTTGAACCCTATGGTTCCCTKGAGTTTCTGTTTGAATTAAATGCCCAATATTTTTAYCGGGCAGCGGGGCCAAGTGTTTTATGATTGAGAGACTTTGCAAGGAATCCGTTGTTCAAGTCTACACTGCTATCTTGAGTACGAGCCMATGTGAATTATTAACAAATAGTCCCTTAAGTATTGCGCGAACCCTCTCCTYCTTTTCCTAGTGTTGCASGAGGTCACCGAGGACTCTCTCTCTTTCTGCTCRRAGTCATTACCAATAGCCTCTGGCCCTCTGTGGTTGAATATTGCTTAGAAACAAAGMGAACAACTTCCCCATTCGAATACTGAACAGGGTCACTGTCAATAGTTTCTTTGTCCAAATGTTGAAAAGGTTCTCTGCGWATAGTTTYCCAGCTCGAATACTGAACAGGGTGTAGCTGTTCAAACASAGCGTGTTCGAGTACTWACAAAATGCAGYAGTTCAATGACYRCGCGCTCGAATGTTGAGAATTTTGACAATGGGAATATAACAAAGTTAAATAAGGAAACAATTCAGGCTACCAGAGTGGCCCGGGGCAACTTGCCCGAGCAGGYGAAAGAAAACTAGAAAAAATAAATAATAAAATAATATAATTTTTAATTTTTAATTTTAATTYAACTTTGATAAATAAGTTTTATATAACCCCGAGGCAAAAGTTGTTCAGTTTAGTTTTGCACATCACATCGTTGTTTTTCAGATTTTTTGTAGGGTATCAGAGTGGTCCGGGACYGCTTGCCTGTGGGGCAAAAGTTGTTCAGTTGTTTTTTTTTTGAATAATATAGTTGTTTTTTGGATTTCTTGCAAATTTTTTTAATTTTTTTGCAAGGACCTTCTCTGGTCCTTGCACGGCCAAGCTGCCTGGTCAATTGGCGGATCTCTCTGCCTTTCTCAAGCAGAGTTTATGGATGGAATCTTGGGTGGTATTAACTGATCACTTTTCCTCTTGGTTTGCTGTTATACCTTCTTCCCACAGAGGGAACACTTATAATATACTCCTACATGGGTTTGTTAATTGGTGTATTATTTGTGAATGTGTGCAGTTGTTCAAACGGATCTGGATGATACACCATGATGTTGAAAACCATGGTTTGGCAAAAAAACACCAGTACTGGATTGAGGATCGTGCATTGGAGAACTTCATACTTGAATTCAATCGGATACAAAGGGTCTTGCGAAGTATGCCTCAAAGACATTGTTTCGGAAAAGGAGGTACAAGTTTCTGAATTCTTGAGCAATAGATAAAGTTCATTCGTGCTCTTTGAAGTTTCGTAGTGCTTTGTGGTGTACCATTATGATTGTCACAGCTGGTTGTCTTTTCTCTCATTTCTTCTGCTTCAGTGCAGCTCAAGAAAGTTTTTTTTTATACCTATATTGTTCCTAGATGCTCATCAACCCATAGTTGCTCGTTACATCATGGGCTGCAATGTCGTCTGTCATTTAAACCCATTGGATGAGTCCTGAATGCTTGTTATTCCATAGCATTTAAAAATTAATTGGCAAAATTGAATTTCACTGAACTTTTTTATTTTTTGGTATTTCTTGTGATGAACACCTTTTTACAGGTTTCTATGGAAACAAGAAAGGGGAAATCATCATCGTGTCATCAATACTGCATGTCATCACGTACTGTCTGGAATCAATGGCAGACGATATTGCTTCATTCGAAGATGATACAGATTCTCCAATTGCACCAGAGCAAGTCAATTTCGTGATAAACTTCCTTGAAATTTCTTGCAGGCAGCGGTTGGCATTCATCAACGACCAACAATTAACATAAGTGTTCGATAATTTTGATGAGTATGGTTCTGATCACAGTGACAATGAGCGTAATAACGAGCGTGAAGATCTTGGCAATCGAGATGATGCAGCAAAAATTTTCTATGACGTATGTAATGTTCCGGGTTATAATTATACTGCTTTAATCACCCCTGTATCAAAATGTGATGTGTGTTTAATTGAATTGACGCTGTGACATCAACTAGGAAATTTTGTTGCACTTCATCTCAGCATTACGTGTCTTTGATATGCAATATTACTGTTTTCCTGCAACTGCTCCATCCTTTTTTTTTCTTTTTTTTTTCTTGTGCAGACAGCAACTACGGCAGGTGGTTCAACTGTTCCAACTGCTCCACCAATTTTTCTGTTATTTTCCTGCTCTGTTGCAGTTGTTGCACCTGGTGTATTGTTGCAGTAGCAACTATTGCAGCAGTGGCGTCCCCCATGGTTCATTTTTATTTTATTTTTTCTTTCTCTGCAGAAGATGCAACTGCTGCTGCTGCTGCARCTTCTRAATCTGGATTAGCTGAAATTGGCTTRTCCAGCATTGTGGCCAACTGGGGTTCGGGAYGTCAGACGCCCGGTGCAAGTGTGTAGTTATTGTACAGATGGTAACTTAGCCTAAGATGTTGTTTTTTGCGTACATCTAACAATCTTTTGTTTTCCTTGTTGCGCAGAGGAAAATTGCAGAAAAGTGTTCCAGGATGCTGAAGAAGTTCACAAACTTACTGAAATTACCATTGACAGCAATGGTAAACTGCAAGTGCGGCTTGAGYAGASAAATCGATGCCATGTTCCGAGGAATGGAAAGTCTTGGCTTGGRTACCTATCATGAGAATCACGAAAGAATAAGTAAGTCTAAGAAATTGAACAGGTGTTCTGAGAAATGGAATGATATGACTAACAGATTCACAATCCARAACCTRAACATTAGTATTTATGTTTGACAATCTGCACCCATCAACCGGCTTTGTWCCCTTCTACYKATGGTCCTCAATCGTGAWGAGGGTCCCCTTCTTGATCTGAACCCTTGAYTGTTTAACCACACACGTTTTTCTCGTATTTTCRCGAGCTACACTTGTACATTATAGACTCTTTTGGCCCACTTGAGTTATTAAAAAATCCATGTCAGATAGCTGATAAATTTTTGTCTTTGTTCCTCTCCTCCTCTGTGATTCGTACTAAGTCTGTATCTCACCTGTTGACTTATGTAATGCTAAGAGATCTGCACACATCTCAAACTGGTTCTGGGACATTGCAGTTTTCTTCTTTATGCATTTCAGTCTGTCCAATATATATATTGTCAAATAGAGTTGCCCGGTATATATGTATATCTGATGTTGCTATCTACCATCCGGACGGCGTGGGTTACCTTGTTTTTCCGGGCGGCCCGCCCGTGCAAGCACCCGGGAAGGTCGCACAAAACAAAAAGCAAAAAAATCCAAAAAATCAGAAAAAAAACAATATTATGCAAAAAAATAAATTGGATAACTTTTCTCTTACGGTCACGTTGAATTTTTTCGACAAACTGAAAAAAAAGAAAAAAAAAAAAGGTCTGGTCAGGCATGTAGTCCCGGGCCACTCAGGTAGCCTAGTGATGTTATAGATTTGATGACATAAGTGATTTATCTATTTTTAAAATTTTTACAGTTTTTGGAGCAAAAGAGTCGCAATATGATATGAARAAGAAGACTGGAGTTGTCTTTGAGAAGAAAATCCCAGATGGATCCGAGGTTACAAAGTTCGTTAATACACTACAAGACGTCTTTAACTTGAGTTTGGCSGACTGGAACAGAGCYGCAGCAGCAACCTTGTAAGTACCATGTATYTGCACCAACACTGACATACTAGTGRCACTACCGACTGATGTAAAAYCATGCCTTTCAAAGTTTTTTAATAGGTAGCCCAGGCGTGTGGATGCCTTGGGCAGGCTGCTCGGCAAATTTTGCTCCTTTGGCAATTTACCCTTTTTAGACCCAGTGGCCAGCCTGGTCATAGGGGCATTTCACCATACCGATGACTTTAGACATACCTCACGAAAGACCCTTAATTTCAGGGGCATTTCAATATTAAAAAAAAAAAAAAAAAAAGGTCTGCTACCGCTGAATCATTGTACCTGGGCTGCTGTTTTATTCCGATTGTTTTTTTTTAATTTTATTTTGAGTCTGTTTCTGTTTTGAGTCTGTCTTGAGTCAATTTTGAGTCTGTCTAATTTTATGTCAGTTCTGAGTCTGTCTAATTTTGTGCTGAGTCAGTTTTGAGTCAGTGCAATTCTGTGCCGCTGAATCTTTGTACCTGGAGCCACTATAGTCATCTTTGATTCTATTTTGACTCTGATGTGAGTCTGTTTACAGTCTCTTTTTGAGTCAGTTTTGAGTCAGTTTTGAGTCTGTTTTGAGTCTGTTTCGAGCTATGTTACCAGCTCTCCGATGGGGAGACGTCTCCCTCGGTCGTTTCCGGGAGACGGACAGGGGGGGAGTTGTCCGGAAAATCGGACAACTGTTTTTTTGCCAAAAAAAAAACGAAAAAGAAAAAAAGGGGGGGGTCTGCGCACCACTAGGGGACCCCCCCCAAAAAAATTCAGGCCGTTCTGAGCAAAAACGAAAAAAAAAAACAGATACGGTGGGGGAGGTGTGATGGTGTGGATAGAATGTGTGTGTGTGTGTGTGTGTGTTGTGGATGCCGCTGTCACTGCAGCTGCGGCAGCTGCTACAGCTGCCACAACGGATGGTTCACAGCATGTGCAGCAGTTGCTGACTGCACACACACACACACACACATTTTATCCACACACAAACACAACGAGTGACACGCATGTGAGCACACATACACAGTCACACACACACACACATGCACTATCTACTCGCACACACACACACACACTATGTACACACACAGATGCACTGTCTACACACAAAAACGCACACCGACACCCATGCACACACACACACACACTCACATTCACACTGGGAAGGAAACAGTAGCAAGGCCAAGGCAAAAGTTGGTTTATTTTATTTTTCTGTATAGCATAGTTTTAATTTTTAATTTAAAATTTCAATCTTATAAAGAATTTCATTTTATTTTTTATTTTAAAATTTATAAAGAATCTCGATGTAACCCCAAGGCAAAAGTTGTTCAGTTTATTTTTCTGCATAACACAGTTTTTTTTTTCGGAATGTTTTGAGTTTTTTTGTTTTTTTGTTTTTTTTGGGACCGCCCGGGGAGAACGTCCGACCAGTTGTCCGATTGGACAACMCCGGACGGTCAGGGGGGTCCCGGACGTCCGATCTGGTAACTTAGGTTTTGAGTCAATTTTGAGTCTGTTTTGGGCTGGGCTGTTTTCCCGGGCGCCCGGGCACTCAACTTCTGCCCGGGCACACGCTCGGGCGCCCGACCGGGATGACGCCCGGGCAGGGTTCCGAGCAGCCCCAGCGCAAAAAAAAAA